AAAAAGGGGAAAAGGGGGGGACAGGAAATGTGCGGCGCTTCGTCAATTAATTGATGACGTGACAGAAAAGCGCCAAGCTTACGTGGACCGGACTACGATGGAATAGGGGATCCTTTTTCTTTTTTTGGGGGGGGGGGATTCAGGGGAGCGTAGTACGAAGAGCAGCAAGTTGAAAAAGCCGAGTCCCGAGGGACCACTCAGCCGGCATTGTCGGATGAATCTGGCCGTAATTGAGGTCGCACACATGCGCGAAAGCTCCAGTGCGAGTGAATATGCACTCAGACGTAAAGGGTAGAAGGAAAAAAAACAACTGGGAATGAAGGGAGAGCCCAGAGGGAGGAATGGACAGAGGGAGGAGGGAGGAGGGAGGATAGAGGAGAGGACAGAGGAGAGGATGGGAGAGGGAGGAGAGGAGGCAGAAAAGGCGAGTAAGGAAGAAGATTAGGAGGGTGTGAGAATCACGGTAAGGGGGGATGAACTGCCCCAGTAAGGAGAAGGGAGGGAGAGCGGGGGGAAGAGAATCAGGGAGAGGGGGGACGAGAGAGAGTGCGGGGGGAAAAGGCCAAAAGAGTGGGATACAGGAAGGGGGAGGGAATGGTGGGTCGGGGCTCATGAGAGACGAGTATCTGAGTCCCAACCTTCGTGTGGTGTGAAGACGATAAGCTGGTGGAGAAAGGAAAGGGGAGGAGGGAGGCAGAAGGGGGGGGGGGGGGGGGGGGGGGAGAAAAGAGGAGGAGAGAGTGTGAGGAAGATAGAAGGGGAGCCATGGCGAGAGCCGCAGGGATGGAGAGGGAGCGATAGCAAGAGGCAGGAGGGAAGGGAAGAGTCGATGACGACATGCTAGCCCGAGAGAATCACCTCTGAATCCCGATCTCCGTGTGGCTGCAGGTGGATGGACTGACGGAGAAGCAGACGAAGAGAGAGAAAAAGAAGAAGAGGAGCATGAGGCAGACATAGGATGGGAGAAAGTGCGGCGGGGGCAGAGAGAGGGAGAGAGGGTGACCGGAAGAGGGAGCGATGCCGAGAGGGGGAGAGAGGCGGAGAGGAGGAGAGGAAGCGATCCCGAGAGAGACGGAGAGGGAGAGGCAGCCATGCTAACAGAGAGGGAGAGGGAGCGATGCCAAGAGAGAGGGATAGAGAGGGAGCGATGCCAGGAGAGGGGGATAGAGAGGAGCGATGGCGGGAGAGAGGGATAGAGGGACTGGTGGTGGGAGAGAGGGAGGGCGCGATTCGGAGGGAGAGGGAGAGAGAGGGCCCGATTCCAAGAGAGAGCGGGATAGGGAGCGGTTCCGAGAGAGAGGGAGAGAGAGGTAGGTAGAGACGGAGCAATGCCGAGAGCGAGAGAGAGAGGGAGAGAAGTGCGCGAGAGGGATTGATTGCGCGAAAGCAGAGCCCGGCGCTCGGCATATGAGAGAGGGAGGGAGGGAAGTGGGAGAGAGGGTATATGAGCAAAATCGTGGTACTTACCGGAGAGAAGTAGAGAGGCGTTCCGACCTCCGTGTGGGCGAATATCGCGTGCGGATCCAGAACTCGGCTCAGACCCAAATCGCCAATCATCGCATTATTGTTCTCGTCAAGGAAAATGTTCGACGGTTTGATGTCTCGATGGAGAATTCTGCGCGCGTGAAGGTATTGCAATCCTTGTCCGATCTCGACGAGCATCTTCCATAGCCAATCTTCATCAACCAAACCTTCGACCTCCAGAGGCGATGGCGGCTGCGGCTGGAATCCCGTCGCCCCGCCCGTCGTCATCATCTTCCGCTGATCCCCCCCCCCCACCACCAACCCTCCGCCACACCCACGCCCTCCACCTCCATTCTCCCCACCACTTCCCCCGGCTTGCCGGTGACACCGCTGATTCTCCCTCTCCCTCTCCCTCTCCCTCTCCCTCTCCTCCTCCTCCCTCATCATCATCCCTTCCGTCCTCTCCACCCTTTTCCTCGATATAAAACTAGACAGATCGCCATTTGCCGCGTAATCCATCACGATGCACAACGCTTCGTTCTCAATGAATGACTCCAAGTAGCGAATCACGTAACTATGGCAGAGGGTAGCCATCACTCTGCACTCGTTCAGCGCCTCCTCCTTGTCCTTATAACTCACCCGATCGAGCGACACCACCTTAACCACGCACGCTCTCCCATCTGCCTTCCTTGTCGCACGGTATACCGTCCCATGGCTACCGCCTCCACATCGGTACAGGATAACGTAATCTCCCAACATCTTGACTGATACCCCGACGACCGGGCGCACTCCGCGTACGTACTTCGCACCCCCTGTCCCGACTTGATTAATCAGCCCAATCAGCAAATCGAAGCTGGTACCCCGACAACTGCCACACTCCACCTTCACTACACACACCCTGTCCCGACTTGCATAATCAAGCCAATCAGCACATCGCAGCTGGTCTACCCCGACACCTGCCACACTCCAACGTATATACTTGCTGCACACAGCCTGTCCCGACTTTATTACTTAGCCATTCAGCCAATCAGCCAAGCAAAAAGACGATTAACGGCAAAACCCCTTTTTTTATGACACCCTGTCCCGACTTGATTAATCAGCCAATCAGCCAATCAGCCAAGCAAAACGACTCGATTCACGGCAAACGCCCTTTTTTTATGAAACGGGCTGTCTTCTCTCATACGATCTACTACAAAAGAAGACAGCTTTATCCCCGCCGCGACCATATCCCGAGACCGACTGTATCCCGAGCCCGACAATCCCCCTAGTAGTCTCTTATGAGGAGGATATATAGACACTAGGATCACTTCCATAACAAGTCGTTCGTCCCTCCCGCATTTTCGCGACAGCTGGTACTGTGACGACCTCTTCACTCCGCCTAGTTCACACACACACACACACACACACACACACTGTCTGGCCCCCCGACTTGGTTAATCAAGGCAATCAATCAGCCAATCACCGAAGCAAAAGACTTGATGAATGGCGAAAGACTTAGGGCGCCCGACTTGGTTAATCNCGAAAGACTTAGGGCGCCCGACTTGGTTAATCAAGGCAATCAATCAGCCAATCACCGAAGCAAAAGACTTGATGAATGGCGAAAGACTTAGGGCGTACTCACACTAGCACTCTCTTAAATGTATGTCACCGCATTTACGGCCGGGAACCCGTCGGATGGATCTGATCGCAATTGCGTCCAGAATCAGTAAAAAGAAAAAGTCATACGCCCTTCCTTCCTTAATGCGGCGTATGACTTTTCGAAATGTCTGTCGCCGGTCATCATCTCAAATCTACACTCGGTGATGTTTGGCAAATGACGATTTTTTCCCGCCCGAAAAAAAGGGCGCCAAGACTATTCAATCAATCAATTTCCCGCCACTACCTAGTGTGATCGCACTCTAAGAGGTCCAAAACGATTCTTCTCGTTGTTGGAACACACATTGACGAAACTACTAAAAAAAAAAAAAAAAAAAAAAAAAAAGAGGAGAAATGTCGGGCCCTACCGACAAGCACGGGCGGGGCTGCAGGAATTTCCTGCATGAAAAAAAAAAAGAATAGCGGAATGAAGATCGGAGCACTCAGGTCAAAACTCCAACCTCTCCACGGCGACTGGCAACGTGCGGTCGGGATACAGACCACCGATCACCTCTTCCCTCTTTCCTCTTCTCTCTCCTCTTCTTCAAATCAAGCCCGCCTGGTGAACCAACAACACGCCAAAAAATCTACACGTCCGACCATCGGCCACGTGTCACCACCACCGGCCACGTCCACATGTCATCATGGGCCACGTGTCACCACCACCGGCCACGTCCACGTGTCATCATGGGCCACGTGTCACCACCACCGGCCACATGTCATCAGCAGCGGCCGCGTGTCATCACCGCCGGCCACGAGTCATCAGCAGCGGCCGCGTATGGGCCACGTGTCACCATCACCGGCCACATGTGATCAGCAGCGGCCGCGTGTCACCACCGCCGGCCACGAGTCATCAGCAGCGGCCGCGTGCAATCACCACTGGGCCACGTGTCACCACCACCGGCCACATGTCATCAGCAGCGGCCGCGTGTCATCACCGCCGGCCACGAGTCATCAGCAGCGGCCGCGTGTAATCACCCATGGGCCACGTATCACCACCGCCGGTCACATGTCATCATCACCGGCCACGTGTCCACCATCGACACGATAACTCACTTCAGCGCTGTTGCGCAAGAGGGAAAAGAACGGACGAGCGCTCACCACCCGTATTCGCACCTCTCTCTCTCTCTCTCTCTCTCTCTCTCTCTCTCTCTCTCTCTCTCTCTCATGATCTCTCTCTGTGTCTGTCTTTCCGTTTGCCGCCATTTGCAAGAGTTACCGCCATGCTGCTGTACGGACACGGCAAACAGAGCAAAAAGGCGGGAAAGGGAAGGCGAGGGCGGGAGAGGAGAGGAGGGGAGGGGGAAGAAGAGAGAGAGGTAATGGGTGAGATTGAACACCTGATAGAGAGAGAGAGAGAGAGAAAGCGAGAGAGAGAGAGAGAGAGGGAGAGAGAGAGTGAGAGTACTACCGGTGGTCCAGGACGTATGACGAAGGAGATTGGAGATTAAAATGTTCTGCTGATTATGCTTGCCTCAAGCCCTCGCAACCCAACCTTCCTGACCGTCGATTAGACGCCTTCCTTGCTGTGACCGTTGATTCGAAAAGAGTGCCAAGGGATCGCAGAAGACCTGGACTACAGCTTCACCACTCTGCCTACTAAATCAATGGCCTTCAAGGTCATCGTTGCGGCACCGGGCAGAAGTCCCCAGGCTCAAGATCCTCCTCCACCTTCCTGTCCTCCCTGTGCCCCCTCTCTTTATCTTTGAGTCCGTCTCTATCTCTCTGTCTCTGCCTCTGCGTCTGTCTTTATCTCTCTCTCCTTGTTACGTCTTTCTCTCTCTGTCCTCGTCTCTGTCTCTCTTTACCTCTCTGTCTCTGCCCTTCTCTCTGCCTTTGTCTTTGTCTCTTTCTGTGTCTCAATCACTCCACCGCTCACCGTCGTGCCGATCAATTTACAACTCCCTGTCCGTGACAACGACAAAGAACAAAAGAAAAAGAAAAAGAACAAGGAGAAGAAGAAGAAGAAAGAGAGACAGAGAGAGAGAGAGATAGGAGCTGTCAATCAGCTTATCTAGCAGATGCATTTTCTCGTTGACACCCACTAGAATTCAATTTACAAGCTGCGGAGGAACGGCGGAGAAGAAAAAGAGGAACGCATTTCTCGTTGATACCCACCAGAATTCAATTTACACGCTGCGGAGGAACGGCGGAAAAGAAAGAGAGAAAACGAGAGAGAGAGAGAGAGAGAGAGAGAGAGAGAGAGAGAGAGAGAGCATTTCAGTGCTGACAATAATCTTCTCTGGTAGATTCTCTCTCTCTCTCTCTCTCTCTCTCTCTCTCTCTCTCTCTCTCTCTCTCTCTCTCACACACACACACACACACACACACA